CATTTTTTTCGTTGTAGCAATATAAAGCCTGGTTATTTATGGTTGTGTATTATTATTCATGCATTAAACTTAACAATGTGTTTCCAGAACTTGAAGTTATATACAACTTTGGCACAGTTTAATACAATTATAGCTCTAATAGGAGCACTGGAATATTATCAAATAAGCTGATTACTGTGTCGATAAAGATCTACGTACGGAAATTCTAAACATTGGGGATAATATATCAAAATATTTCTAATTTGTTTAGCAAATTGTGTGTAACTTATATACGAGGCTGTCAAATTTAAGGAGTTACAACCCAAACTGCTTTGTCCTGATTTAATAATAAAGCCTCGTCTATAATCGATGAGCGTATGTACATCTTATTATTATAGATACAGTAATATATTAATATTTGAGAAATGTTTGGATTTCAAACATTAAACCCAATTGTATGGCAAATTATCTAAAAAATAAGAAAAATATTTCTTTACAAAATCTATTTTAGTACAAACTAAATCGACCTTATTTATTAATTTGTCAATTAGTGATTATATAACAAAAGGTCAATATTGGATAATAATAAAACATTATTATACCGTTATTTGAACAAAAACTGTTCTGATGGTGAGGAAGACACACAAATTAAATACGACTGGGATTTTCCTAATTAATATACTACGTATTATTTGCACGTGATAAACATTCTTATTTCAACTTCTGATCAGTTTGCAAAACACATTCAGCGTTTTCCGTAAAAGGTTTATGTTTACAAAACCAATTTTCTGCCTCAACTTAACTTTGATTCATTATAGAGTGGAGGCATTTACACGGCTCAACCTCGGGCTAACGCGTGGCATATTGGATTGTGTGTTGCCATCCCAATATAGGGAATAGGTTATTAACGGATTTACCATGTTATCATGGTGCAAAACGGGATTCGATAGAAACACCAGCGAATTACTGTAAAAACTGTGAAATTACTGTGTCTCCCAGCGGACAGATTTGGTGATTGGCTTTCTAAAATATGTCCCCTAGAAGGAAAGAGTAAAAATGAATTGGGGTTTTATAACTGCATTTATTTGTCTATATCTATATTATTAATACACTACATGAAACTTTGTGAACAATGAGGCTTTTTTGTGGATTTAACCCCACATATATTACCAAAATGTCTAGGTGTGTATATTTGCAAACTGACCTTAATTTTTTTTTAAAGTCTCCTGGGCTCTGACCCAGAGGTTTATAAAGTTCCCATGTTATCCTTATGAAGAACATATTTGTTTAAATTATGATCAGCTGGATAATTTAATTGCTGTTAATATTTTAGTTGCAATTAAAGGAAACGTGAACTACAAACATTTACTGACTTGGTTGAAATTAAATATTTACTATTTTGATTTGGGTTGGCGTAAATATTACAATAGAAAAAAGAGAGAAAGCCTGGAAAATAAATTTTACATACAGTAATAAAAAGAAAACTGAATTTACACTGTCCTGCAACTCTTGGGCAATCATTGAAAGAACTGGAAACATAGGAAAGTCATAGAACCCCACAAAGTAGAAGAAATAGAACTAATGGTTTTTTTTATATATTTATAATCGTTATTATGGACAACGTAATGCGGCTATGAGTGTGAAACATTTGTAGAAAAATTAGAACACTAAAAATAAGATCAGCTTTTGAAAAATGGTCAGATATTTTCAAGAAATGTCGATTGTATAGAACCGTTATGTACATCGTGAGTATTTCCATAATTTGTAATTCTACTCTTTTAAAGTCATCGGAAATTATGACTGTTATTCGTTTTAAAATAACGCATGTAATACTTCGCAATTGCTAGAATCCGAGTAACAGGTACACTATTAATATTTTTTTGTTAAACTATACAGAAAAGGTAAGTTGGATGAAATGCACATATTACTTGTATTGTCAGTTAAAAGTTTTTGTGCAATGCTAACAGAATTAGTCAGAGAATTTTGGTTTCCTATGTATAAATAACTCATAGTTGATTAAGGAATATCCTTAATGCATTTTATAGTTTTCATGCAACATAATCAGTGTTCAAAATTTAACCTAAACACAAAATTAATTTACTGATCAATAACGAAGCACATACATAAAAATGGCAATTAATAAAAATACCAGTAGTGAGGCTGAAATATTCAACTTTTTTTAGGCAGTAAACCGATTTTTTTAACAAAAGTGAATCATTACTCTCTACGCGCTTCTTTTTCAGATGTTAGTCTTTGCTACTTAATCGCTTAAGTTATTAATTGCATGTATTTGTACACTGTTATGCAACTGAAATATGTAACTAAGTAAGGTTATACTTAAACCAGGTTATTACAAAATTGCTCTTGATACCTAAATATACGAGAGCAATTGGAAATTAAACACAAAATTTGTTTTAAATAGTGTATTTTGAAGTATACATAAATGCGTATTTACAAACAAGAACATTAAAAACTATAGAAATGTACAATAATACTATATTTACAAAATAATTTACAATTTAAATCGTTTTGTCTGGCCTAAAATATAAATTCTTACAGAAAATATATAAAAGTTGTTTCATATTAAACATGTTTAATGTCATAGATATGATGAAAAAAGTTTCAAATATTAATTTTTATTACAAGTAAAACTGCTTCTACGCCATCATTTTCTTTGTATATGTGGAAAATCAAGTAAAATTACATGTAATTGTTGTATCAGTTAAAGTAAGATTGTAATAGTGCTATTTAAAACAATTAAATAAACATTACTTTTTTGGATATATCTTAATGCAGAGGTTAAGAAGGCTAACACATAACATTTGATATTTAGTACAAAAAGATGGGATGCTACCTAAGAGAATATATCTTTTTTTTATACTTATACAGAAAGGTACTAAAAGTAGGTATACAGTTTAAGTCGGGCCGTAATAATCACCACTTGCCATTGATTTTTTATTGTCATTTAAAAGTTTGCTAGTTTTCATTACCTAAGATTGTTTTAATTATTGTTTTTTTGCTTCGGCGATCTAATAAGTTATAATATTCGGCTAGTAATATTTAATTTTGTTAATGCATAGGGTACCTATTTTTTTAAATAAAATAATACTATAAGCATATTTTATTATAATTTGTTTGCCAATGGGAACCATGACATTTTGAAACATACGATTTCTTGGTGCCAATATTACCTTATTAAAATGTTTCTCTATTTAGCACCTTTATGTGGGCTACTAATATAATCTTTATTCGACAAAATCCCACACAAATGTCCAAGTAGCATTCAGGTTGCAGAAGCTATTGTACAAGGTCCCTTGCATAATGCAAGCTCCGTGCACTATTGACCTATCAATAATTAGTGATCAATTATGTGCATGTAGGAGCCGAAGGGCGGCGCCCCCTAGGGACCACAGGTCCTCAGGGGGCCGAGACCCTTAGCCCTTAGTCCGGTATTAACCCTTCATTTGGTAATTGTCTTCGACCGTCTGAAACTGTGACAGAATTGGAAATGTTCAAAAAGTATTTTCTGGAATAGAATTGTTTTGCTTCAATTCCAAGATTAATAGATTTAGAATTTTAATCAAAGAAATTTTGATTGTTGCATTTTTTATAAGTCAGGTTTGAGAAGCAATTGATTAACTAGCGTTGACTACTTTAGTTTTGGAGTAAGATTTGTTTTTGACTCTTTCATCATTGAACAACACTTAAAAGCATTTATTTTCATCTTAAAAATATACTTGGTAAGAATACGGACTTTTTGTTTACAATAAAAAACGTTTTCAAGCACAAATAATTAATCAAATTGTAGATGGGAATTTAAATGAATTCATTAATCAGTTAATATAATAATTTAAACAATATACAAACCAATAAAAACAATAGCCCAAATTTTAATTCGTCAACTTGTTTAGTCTCTTTAAAACCTGATGTGAAAAATGAAGATCTAGTAAGATCTAAATAGAAACTAAAAATCTTACGAGTAGTTTAAATTGGTAATTTTTACAAATTTCTTTTCTGAACACACTGAAATGCAATTATTGTTTTTGTTTATCATTACGATTTCAACAGTGCTCTAGATTTTCAAATGAATTTCAAAATTCTAAGTTTTTCTAACACCTATAACAAAATTCTCGTAAATTGTCATACTTATGTAAGTGAACATTTAATATCACAAATGTAAGCTACACAACGCTTAGATTTAAATTTACATGTTATTTACAGTATTTACATTAAATTATCGTAGGGATTTTTGTTAGTTACAAAGTTACAAAATAATATCACAAACAGCGTCTCTTATATTTAAAATATAACACTGAAATCATGACGTCATATTTACACTTAGCAGATAGTATTTAAGCCTTTTATTAACATTATTAAAAGTTTTAATACACTGGGGCGTTGGTCGTGTTCTAGTTAATTAAAATACATTATTCAATTATCTGTATCGTTTAAGCAGATTTACAAGATTTAGAGAAAACTGTAGGATGAATGAACTCAATTTAAAATAAACCCTATGCTATTTATAGCTTAACACAAGTGTGTAGCTTTAAAAGTACTTAATATTGACTAAAGATAATGAGCACAATCATGGATTAATAGAAAATAACGTACAAACGATTAATTTTCGTGCATCAATGGTTGTAAAATATGGACAACCTTTGGTTTTAGATTTTGGATTTTGGTTATAGCATTTAAATGAATTTGTATTGTAAATTAAGGTTTGAATGTTTGGGACCAGACCACACGAATAAAAAATAACAAAAAAACTTGAAGCTAAAAATTAAAATGAGCAGTATTGTTTCGCAAAACAGCGCAAACTCCTCATAAATTCATTTGTTGGGACGATGTTCAACCTAAAATATTTTTTAATCATAGCCTTTCAAATTTGCCAAAATCTTGAGTATTTAAACATCAAACTTGCCACACAATTCACTAAGGTTATAGTTTCAAGAAAAAATTCACGTTACATAACCTTTTGGTTCGTTTTGCAGAACTAAATTTATTCTAAAATACTTCGGGAACGTGGAAGTGCAATTTTGTATTAGAACTATACTTCCAAGACACTCATGGAAAGAAAGTTAACCCATAAAAGTGTTAACTAAAAATTATGCTCAAAGTACCCTATTCTTTAAGGAAAACCTGTAATTATCTTTACAAATGATGTCCTATGAATGAGTATCCAGAGCCCAGTATCTTTAGTCACTGTTAAAATATAACTGGTCAGCTCAAGTAACAGTTTGTATTGTTTTGGAACATTCTAACTTGAATTATTTAGTAGTAGTCATCCCATTCCGTGTAAAAGCTAAAGCTTGAGATTTAGAATGGTCGTTAGCCACTGTCAGAGTCAATAACTGTTATTTGAAGAAAGAACCACCGAACACGATTGGTCAAATATGTTATGTTACTTCAAAACCACATCATAGTGCCAAAGAATATTTTTTTGTAACAGCACCCTGTGACTGACTCGTTCTACGACGTGTTGCGTTTGAATTGAAAGCTGGCTATAACAGGTCCAAAGTACTACTAGGGATGCTTACTTCCGTATACAAAATTAAAAAGATTCTAGAGTCTAGTAAGGCCTCCAGACCGAGGCGTCGGTCCCGTGCTGTCTATTGACGTCCTCGGACGGGGGCAGAATCCCTATCTCTATAGACCTGGAGGAGTTACTGCTGATAGTCAGGTTGTTCCCCACCAGAGCCGTCAAGTCCTCGTTGTACTCTCCCGTGGCCGCCGGCCTGTCGTTGTGATGCAGATGAAGGTGGATCTGGTTCTGGTTGACAGTGGAGTACAATGACGGGTAGAGCACCATGGGTGGCGGGGGTGGATGCGGATAGGCCTGGGTTGCCGTCGGTGGGGAAGTGCTGCTGTAGTAGTTGTTGTAGTTATGGTGGGGCGGTGCTGCACAGGTTCCTGAAAAAGGAATCTATGAAAAATAATTTGTCAAGAAGGACGTAGAAAAAATTAGAACAAATATATTGGTTGATACTTGTTTACGTATAAGTGATGATTGGCCTTAAGAGAAAGTCAATTATAAGGTAAAATACTGTAGGAAATAAAATGTTGTCAACATTTCATAGCAAAGATTTTTTTTATTTATTAAAATATTACACCTTTATTTCAAAGGTCGCAGTAAAACAGTATTACTGAAACACGTGCGTATAAAGCTGACCTAATAAGCAGTTAGACGAAAATCTACGCTATTTGGCTATTTGCAATATGAAAAAGCTCTTTTCCAGTGTAAACTTTTGTGACACAATCACTTTTGTACAGTACACATTTTATTTTGTGTTTAAGAAAATATAAAACTGGATTGAAAATATAAATATGTTCTGGACTGAGAAAGACGGTACAGTTTTGTGGATGTTAGTTGTTCAAGCTTGTAACCACAAATATTATAACGGATCTTCTATTAGAATATCTGAAAACTGAACGAACAGTTGTTGACGCTTGTAACAGTTGATGACGAAAGTTTTCAGACCAAAACTGCAAATGGTCGAGTATATCAACCAGGAGTAATGAAACACATTTTTTAAGTTAAGGCAAATTTCACCGTTTGACTCATCCCAAAAACTCACATTTCCACAGGGGATCGAACTGTGTAATATTAGCAAAGCTGAAATAATAAACTACGTGAACTGTGTGTTAGACTGACCTCCCCAGTAGCCACCACTGCTGGTATACCCCGTGTCGTAGCGATGGGGATGGGAGTGTGAGTGGGGGTGGAGGTGGGGGGCGGGCTGCAGCGACGTCACACTACCACCCCCACAATCCATCTCGGGGCTGGAGCTCTTGAGGCTGAACATGGTGTAGTCGGGGTGAGAACTGACCGGCGTCTCCGGCAGTACTGGAACATCAGGGGGAACCTTAGTGGAATAGTTAGAGAATGAAACAGGTTGGGGGTAATAGCACAGACAATATAATACTTTAATGTTTATTCCATTGTCTGTGGTAATAGAGGTTTAAAGAACGATCTGCTATGTAAAAGAACGTAGTCACACTCTCTCAAACTGTTTAGTCCCGAAATTACTGATAAACACTACATTATTTTGAACCTTTTGTTGTATTTTTTTTACCACGTCACACCTATTTAGACTAGGAAGATGAACAGCAATGTGTTTTAGTGTAAATATACACGTTCATTTAATTTTGATAGTTCTTGAATTTGCTAGCTTATCACACGAGCGCGCAAGAAGTACAAATACATTAACAAGATTATCAGATTTCCTAAATATATGTGCATTTGAGAATACGAAAGTGAACATCTTATATCAGTTTGTAAGCATAGAATACTGTAGACTTATCTCATACCTAGAGAGATTTAAGCACACGAAGGTGGAAAATATTTTAAAAGTGGTGAGTACGTACTTATGTAACAAATACAGAGTTGGTGATTAAATGCACATGTGAATTGGTTAATCAGTGACGGTCAGTGACCTACTACCAAAGCCAGAACAACTCTTGATAAACAGTTTTAGAACGATTATATATTCTTCGAATGGATTTCCTGTCGTGAGGCATTTAGGGAATGAAGTATGCTATCTCACTGAGAGACCTCTTCAGATTGCTTTAATTCAAATGTACCTACAGTTTAAGGTACGCTTCGTACTACCGGGTCGCTATGATATCAGCTGTCTAAATATGTTGGTTATTGGGAAAATTCAAGAGGACTCTAGGACATAAGTTCCTAATTCTCACCACCAGTCCAATGCCCCTTTTTAAAACATTATGATTTTTGATAAACTAATTTACAATGAAATAAGATCGCAAGATAGAGACGAGCTATGTTTTACCCAGATAAATAGTATACTTCTTTGTGCCTTTTAAATATAGATTTTTCCAAATAGGCCTACACTTTTTGTGAACACAAGAGAAGATTTAAAGTGTAAATGTCAAAACTACCTGTGGGGAGATGGGAGGACATGGTGGGTTCGATGGGTGTCAACTCTGAGCTGTATCCAGAGTTCTGGTATCCGGAGCTAGGAGAGTATCCGGTGTTGTATCCTGACCACTCCATCCCGGCGCTGCTCTCTGGAACATACAGGGGTGAAATGAAAATGAGAAAACAAAATATAAACTCAACCGAGCCCAAACTGAAGGTATGTTAAATAAACGTCACCTTTTAGTTGAACCTTGTGACAAGTCAAATTTGATTGTAAACACAAAATTAAACTTTTTCGAAGGATAGTATTACAAATTTTAGGATTAATAATACCACTGTTGTGAGGAAATAACGAATGAGACAAGCCAAAGAATCAAGTGACTAATCATTAGGAAATGATAATTTTGAAATAAGTTAATTAATAAATCAAATGTGTGCGTTCAATTAGGTGTATTTTCAAACCTGATAAATTTAATAAATAATTCCACTAAAGGACATTGAAATATTGAATAGTGCTAAATATTTGTTTAAATAACTTTCTAGTATTGTGCAATATAATATACGTTTGTAAGAATACCCATGTATCCAAAGAATATCAAAACGGATATATCCACTCAAAACTCAAACTCGAAAATTCTGAAGAAAACAATTCTTTCTCCATTTACTATGTATAGGGGGAGAAAGAAAAAAAATCCATCCAATATCCTTTTTTTGAGAGTTTGATGAATAAAATACCTAAATACTAAAAAAAGATAAAACCCCATATTACAACTCTTTGTAGAAAACGCCACTTTGCAATATCAAAAATCCACACAGAGAATAATCAATCAAAACAGCTCATTAGGCAAGACGAGAGATAAAATCACAGAAAGCTTGTGGCAATCACGCAGGCATTAGTGGCTTGGTATAATTTTGGGGTAAATCCGCGCAAACCCGTGACAAATAAAGTGCAATCAGAGCGAAAACCGCAAGTTTTTGGAGGGAAAATGACAACTAATTAGTGAACTATAACCACCGTAATAGACTGGTGAATAAGTCACGAAGATCAAAGGTGTGATGTGTGTGCGTATGTACGCGCGTGTGTGTGTGTCAGTGTCATATTCAATAACCTGCTTGTCACAGTTCACAGTTTACGTACGATGTGGCTTAAGTTGTCCAAGCTTACCATTGGAAGGGCTGAGTACTATGAATACATCGTGTAGTAAGCCTAACCATTGACGTTGTACTTCCCCTTGTGAAAGCTAAAGCTATTGCTATGTTATGTACGGTGCATGATCGTGATGACGACTAAATGGTTTATGTTATATTGAATGGTTACAAAACTAGAGGGCGTGTAGGAGTGGGAAACTAAACATGTCTTCCAATTGGTTTGGATTGCAATCCCTTAATGTTAAACATATTTAGAATGATACGGACGAATGTAAAAAACTACTTGAGTGTTACCGGACATGAACCCTAAAATTGTCTAAGAAGCCTTATAATGCCTTAATCTATGAGGCACTTTGCAGAGTCACGGGGTTGCAAATACCTTGTCAATTGCGCACAAGCTATGCATGTTCGAATGGAGTTGTTGTTTCATATCCCTTACGAAATGAAGCAAAGCAACCCGATACGTGTATTCCTAATTGTGTCGAGTTTCTGGGTTAGGCATTTGAATAAAAAAAATTCTCAGTTACACACAATATTGATTGTTTTTCTATAAAAAAAAGTGTAAATCAAAACAAAAATCAGGTACGGGATTTTTGGGACATGTTTTCCACTTCCATACTTATACAACGCATTAAAAAATAACAATATTCTTCGATAAAGCACTAAGTCAATAAAAAAAATTCAATCATTCACAGAATGCAATATAAAGTTAGCTGATTCTCGTAAAAAATGCATTCAAAATATTCAAGATAAACAAATACTTTGGCGTTTCCGGTTGGAGCTTGGCGGGCCTCCGTTACTGCAGACGACACCCACATTGTATAATCTACTGTAATTGCAGGTTCGCCAACTGCATTCCCTCCAAACACAATTATCCCACCACTGCCACTGTAATACCCGATGCACTACTATATAAAGTGGCGCCGCCTGGCGTCGATCTCCGACTCGTAGTAACTGTTTGCGGTGTTTAGTTCCACAAGCAATCCGATACACTCACATACTCTCATCCTCTCGATTCTTGTTTGAGCAGAGGTTTTGACTTGTGATTTATTATTTAATATTAAGTGGTCAAGAAATTGCTTAAATATGTGAAACTAAACTGTAGGCCTACTAGTTCATGTGAAATTCCTCACGTTGATTATAGAATTGTCCACAAGCCGGCTCGTATTATAGTTTTAAATATTTATGATGAAAACCCAATACAATATATTGCTTAATTATCATAAGTACTAGTACTACAAATAATAGGGAGAATATTGGTTTACTGTATCATGGGTGCATTTTATACTATCCATTGGATAGCATAGTTTTGGGAAATGGACTAGTTGAATGATTTAAAAAGGCTTCTTAGTTCTTTCACAATAAAACGCGTAAACTGATTTGATTTGACTGAACGAACGCGGAACTATTTTACTGTAAAGTGAAACTAACATGTAGCCCAGATGCCAGAAACACGAATCTTGAAAATCTAACAGTGTATAGTTGCTGTCATATATTCATCAGATTGTATGTTCATGCAAAAAGGAGATGGATAGCATGTAGCATGTCTGAAGTCAGACTAAGACTTTGAAAATAAATAGCTAGACATTTTCATTAAAAAACCCCATCAGAAGTCTTGAATTATTTCCACTTGTTCTACTCTATTTCTAGCACTAATTAAAATCAGAAATACATTATTCTAAGCCTGCTTCAAGTGAAATTTCGAAGTAAAGACGTCAATGGAGGTTAAAGATGTTCCTGATGAGTCTTTATAATTCCACAGTAGCAAGACAGCTAACGGAGGCTCTGACTCTGCCCAATCCACCAATTATAGCAATCAAGGTCCCACTTAGCTCCAGAGATTATACTCTGTCTTCTTAATTCGGTAAAATAAGTTTGTCTGAACACCTCAATTTGGCGAATGTGTCTTGGCCTTTCGAATTGGATTAAAATATTTTCTTACTCCCTCGCAAAACCACTCGGTACATGTTGTCAAGTTGAACTTGACCCAATGTTTGTTTTGCGTACTGAGGATCCAATCATGATCGACCTTGGGGAAAACACATGTCCTTGCTATTTGCCTTGGAGTCTCGACAAGATGAAGCTAGGAAATGGCTGTAGCTGAGGTAATACCTGCCATATGCTGTGTGGACCTGCACTAGGCAAGGAGAAGAGTCAATAACGTATACGTGTGTTGGTTATGCAACGAGGTAGCGTATGAGTAGAGGAAATGGTTCATCCAAAATGGTTGGCAGTGAGGGTCCACAAGATTTTATTGGAACAATGTGTGCACTCACCTTGCATAGACAGTTTAAAATATGTCATAAAATTTACGGAGGTTAGGTAAATGTAGATATTAAGCTCTCTTGAAAACTGAAGGAGTTCTCTTACCTTTCAAAAGAGTCAACACTTAGCGCAGATGTCTAGATTAAATTTAATTTAAATAGTCATTTTATACAATGATAAACTCTAAAAACACAGTCGAAATTTACCCTTCAGTAAATTCTTTGATTTTCGTAAAACATAAAAAATTGATTAAAACTAACCATAAATCTAAACCCAAACTCATTTTTTTAAATTAGGTACGGTTCTAAAGGCTCATAGGGAACTGTGTTTCCAATTTCTTAACTCTATGCCTTATGGATCCAGAGATTGTGTGGTCAGTGAGTGAATGAGTCAGTGAGTTTCGGCTTTCATAGAGTACACCACACAAATACTACATAAACATTAAGATGAAAAGATGAAAAATTAAAAATACTCAAAACTATTACTATTCCTCATTGTATTTTACGTTGTTTACCGATATAAAATAATATAGATAGATTGTTTTAACACATCATTATTATAATTACCCTCGATGAACGACGTTTCCAATAAATCGCTAATAATGCCGCACGTCATAATCACTGCTTTAATCAGCTGGTTTTTCTGTTCCGGCGTTAAATAATAGAGCTAGATGAGTTTTAGGGGATTATTGTCAGCTGTTTATTGCACGAACCTTTAATATCTCGTTCACCGCTTTCCGCCAATAGTGATGAAACAGTCAATAGTTAGTTGTTCTTTATACTGTTTTGTTAAGTTGTGCAAGGGGAAAGGTTTGTACAGATTAAATTTAACGAGAGATTTGGCCTTTCGAGTTGGTTTAAAATATTTTCTTACTCCCTCGCAAAACTACTCGGTATGTTTGTTTTGCGTACTGAGGATCCAATCATGATCGACCATAGTTAAAAATAAAAATACTCAAAACTATTACTATTCCTCATTGTATTTTACGCACATTCAGATAATTCAATTATTGAAATTATCTGAATGAATATAACAACAGTTGCAACAATACAAAAATATTGCAACAGTATTGCAACAATACAACAATATTGCAACAATACAACAGTATTGCAACAATACAACAATATTGCTACAGTTGTATTTTGAGCATAACAAAATTACGTAGATAGTTCGTAAGCTCCATCCACCGTATTGATTGCTGTTGTTTAATCTATTTTATGATCTATAATTAATTAATTAGTAGGCCTAATGAAACTAATTTAAAATTAGAGATAAAATTAAATGTAATTAGACAACATTTTGTCAAATCCTAACTGTAAGAAAGGAACATGAGGGCTTAGTTCGCCTCAGTAAAGAAGCATTTTCATTTCATTTCATTGACGTTTCCTCGGTACGTCAAGAGTGCACGCCGTATCAGATTCAGGTTCCGTAAGATTTTCGGCGGTTTGCATTCAATTGGAAGTGTCCAAGCCGGTTGCCGAGCCCGCGCGCAGCGACCTGCTTACCGAAATGAATTCTTCATTCTGGTTTCAGATTCCGATTTGGATATTATAAGCTAGAAGTGTGAATTTTCTTCGTTTACAAAATCATCCTTGCGTGTCCAATTTTAAGGCAAGAAAGTCAAAAAGAATTATATTACTGGGATATAGACGACTAACGTAAGTCAGTCAACATTTACAATACAAGAAGAAATCATCTCGTTAATAACTTAACTTTAATTACTATCAAAGCACCT